ACACACACACTGCCACAGACAAACATTGCTACTCTACTGCAGCACTGTACAGTACAGCTGTGTGTAAGTTAGCAGGTATTAGTTTCAAGATCCAAGAAGCTTCATTCATCCCGAGGGACATTACTGTGCAACAGGTGCAATACAAAGGTGGGGAAGTAATACAGGGTTAGAGTAAAAATAAGCTAAAATAAAATAAATAAAATAAAATAAAGGCTAACATAAAATAAATCAAACAATTAACTAAATGCAACACAATGCAAGCACTTACAGGTAACAAAAGTACTAAATGTGACAAAATGCAACACAAACTGCAGTTAAACGTAGGTATATATGATAAACAACAATACGCACCATGCAATTTAGCAGCATAAAATGAAATAAAATATATATATATATCTAATTTTATTTTTCTACTGAACATATTTACATTTCTCCTTGTATACCTACTGTGTAAACTTGGTATGGAGATGCCCTATTGAACAAAGTTTGAGTGCACATTAGCAGTTCTCACACATTAAACATGGGCAGCGATGATTGTGTCAATGTGTTGACTGATATGTGTTTTTGCTCAGGCCATGCGCATTGGACTGCCCAGTGCAGAGACACTGCAAGGTGGATCCCTGAAAGCTTTGGTTGTGGTGAGTGTGTGTCTGCTTGATGCTGCACACAGACATCTCTGACAGGACACAGTCAGCTGGTAGTGATTTGTTGAGCTCCATGCGTTGCTCTCGTGTACTGTGGTTGGGTCTCACCCTCTTCCTCCTCCTCCTGTTTCTCCTCCCAGACGCTGCTCCTGAGTGCGTTTATGTTCCAGCTGCTGAGGACTGTTGGACTGAGGGCGTTTTCCATGGCATCTGAGACGTACACGTCGGGCACGCACTCTGCGGCCTTCGTCACTTGTCCTAACGACACGGTGGCTAAAGACTTGGCGAGGTGATCCACGCAGGAAGTCACTTTTAGCTCCTGTGCTTCATCACCCAGCAAGACCAACGTAGATTTTCATTTCTGTCGTTCAGTTAACTTTCGTGCATAAAGTGGCTGATTCTTTCCTTCTGTTTCACAGGGGCATTGTGCAAAGGAAGCTAGCTGCGTGCGTCAACATTGTCCCAGCAATCCAATCTGTGTACGTTTTGAGACGGCTTTGAGTTATCTGTGTTTTCAGTATGTAAAGGGTGTTTTTGACAGATGGTGAATGAAGAGTTTTTCTTAGACAGCATTTGAATACAATCATTTTGTTCTGATGACTCCTTGGGATTTACAAGACTTTACAACTTTCTTATTTTGTCTGGTTCCCCCAGATATGAATGGCAGGGTAAGATTGAGGAGGACAACGAGGTTCTGCTGGTGAGATGACATTTCACTCTAAATCGAAAACTTACAATCACTGTGCTACTATTACTTACTTAACTATAGCTGCATCTGTAATCATTACTGTTACTTCCGTACAGTACTGCTTATTAACTTACCTCATCACAACTTCTTCAGGATAGTTTGATGAAAGAACTTTCTATACATTTATTTCACATATAATATACATATAATTTATTTCTATAATTTTAGGAACGATAGAATAATATAAAATAATCAAGGAATGAGATGAAGTGCAAGTCTGAATGTTTAGTTTTACACTGCCAGTAAACTGAAACAAAAAATTCAAATGGAAGAGCCGATAGTTATTGAGACACATGTAAACAAAACGGTGCAAAAACAAGATTCAGTGGAGAATCTGGCATCTCCCGCTTTATTTAGTCACTGTTTGAATGAGTCAGCACTGAAGCTCACATTCTCAGCTGTGAGCCAGGTTGTAGTTGCAATCTGTGGCTTCTACACATCGAGTGTCATAAACTTGGAAATGATTGAACCAGAAGTCCTGCATGTGCCTGCAGAGACGGACAGGAACGGCAGTACTGCTCTTTGTGGGCTGTAACGTTCCACAGTGGTGAATTTCTGACTCAGCCTCAATCAGTGATGTCAGTAAATTATAGATAGATTATCCCTAATTTCAGATCCCCCCTCAGGGCCGTTGTCCACTGTGTCACATCTTTAAAATCTATGCGCTGGGACAGGCTGCATGATAATTATGTTTTTCGAGAACTAAGAAAGCCACTACGTCAGATTAAGTGACCATGGTGCCTTACGTTCCTTAGGCAGGCATGTTGAACCGTGCCCAATATCAGCTTGTGTTCTTTCATTGCCTGCCTTACTTACAGAGGCGACTGAGCAGGAGGGGGGGTTGTGAAAGACTTCCACTTCCATTATTGTACTGGCTGAGAGAGGGACTCAGAATAGCTTGTTTTTCAATATTTAAAAAAAAGAACTGCACATGATAAAATCCTCATGTCTGATGCGGTCGGTCGCGCTGACCCAGTGTCTCTCTCTTGTGTAGATGATTAAAACCAGAAGCTCCAAGGTGCCGGCTCTTGCTGAATATGTCCGGTAAGTTTATTTTTAAACTTTAAACACAGAAAACCTCTCGCTCCAACCTAACTCTCTCTCACAGGAACGCTGTTTTGATAATTTGCTCCATTACCTGCCGTGACTCATGCAGTCAAAGAGTATGGCTTTAATTACCGCCATTTATTTTTGTGCCCGTCTGGGCCCTCAGTTGACTCCTGAACGCTCATTGTCTTCTGCAGCTCTAACCATCCTTATGAAGTGGCCGAGGTCATCAGCCTGCCTATTGACCAGGGCAACCCGCCCTACCTCAAGTGGATAGGAGACGTTGTCCCTGAGTAAAGATGGACTGGTGGATGAGTGGATCAACTGATTACTGGATGGATGTAAAAACTGATCTGAGAGCATGTGAAATTACCCTTACTATTTCCCTCAAAGACACATCCAATGCTTAGACACAATCAAAACACTATACAAATCTGTAATGCTATGACCAGCTGCATAAAACCAAGACTTACAAGACAAAGTGGCCATAAAGTTACACACTGGGTTGTTACTTTTTTGTTTGTTCCAGCCATCATTTAACACTTGTAAGTCCTTAATTTGTTTCCCTTTCTGTATGTTTACCACTAGAGGGCAGCCTTGGCCTTTAATTTTCAAAGTTAAGCAGGTGTTGCATAAACTGTGCTACAGTTGTGTCTTGTTGGAAGCTGCCACTAACAGACATCAGTTATATTAGTGGTTGTTTTGTAAAAGAAGCATTTTTGCAATAAAGTGGAGCATTGTTTTTTATTGGTTTTAAGTCTTTCTTTGGGAACAACATACAGTAAAGCTGAGGTCATCATGACAAACATGTATATATTACCTACTGTAAACATGTACACACTATGAAGGATTTCAAGTGACACGATTGCATACAACACCAAGTTTTATTACGGGACAAAAATATCTACATACCAATATTATGTGTAAACATTTATTTAGGCCACTCTCACCACATTACACTTGGCTGTAGCAGTGACAACACTGCAGATAATACAACATTTTAAAGCACTTGTTGTGATCATAGACAATAAACTGACAAAAAGCAATTATGTGGCGAGTTGCCCTTTTAATATAACCCACTGATCTGGGATTTGACTTAAATCTGTGAGCCATAAATAAGACATGAGTTCACAATACAGTACAAAACACACCCCTACAATTTCAACCACATAACAGAAAAACTTTGTTTACATCGACTGTATCAACAACATAGTGTGTAACTACCGTATACGTATAAAGCAGGGAATCTTCAAAGACCTTTACTAAAAATGACACACCAGCGTTCAAGGGTGACAGAAGTTAAAAGTTGTTTTCTTATGGTTTATACATTCATACTACATAGCACTTCAACCTGGCAGGTCTCCATGGAAGAGGACCGCTCCCTCTTTAGATATAAACGGCTCATTTCAAAGTGACAAAAGCACAATGAGTTTATTTTCAGGTAATTATACATTAATGAAAACA